TTTTTCTTATCAGCAAGGCAAAAAGTGAAGCTCGCTACAAAATTGTTACATGATCTCGGTTCCGATATTAAATAATCAATTATCACAGCACACGGCAGTGCGCGCGAGTGACGAAAGCAGCCACAGTAGAATGCTGAAATGACTCGCTTATATATACACGAGATTTTGAAGTTTTTATCCAGATGTCCAATCGACATGTTTGAGATATCGTTGGAAAGGTCTTGCAAAGTGGATCCAGAAAATGTATTTAAGCTTCATAAACGATTAACCGGTCTCTTCAAAATTAGGCTAAAGTGTTGCGAAACAAAAAAACGCTTTTTTGCTTTTGCCGGTTTCGAAAGATATAGAGGTAAATGTGTTTTGGTTCGTGTCTCCGCTACGAGATGCTTTGGTATGTATGTGGCGTCTGTACGTACCTTCATTTAATTTTTTTCAAACTTTCAGGAATTAAAGTACAAAAAAAACTAAGAACGTTTTGTTGCAGGATGTTTTGATTCGTATGCCTTTGTGGGCGTGGCTGCTGCCTGAAATTCGAAAAAAGGCAATTTTTTAAACTACCACTCAGGCCGCACTACTCAGTCCATGTCATTGATGTGGATATCAGTAGAAGGGCCTTCAAACAAGCCATCTTTTGTGTTTGTGAAATATAAATATGTCATAACGTTATCGCCTGAAAACTAAAAATCAGGCTGCTGAAGATATACATTTCGGGCATTTTCTCAAAAACTGGTCAGTCGATTTTATTCTAGGTTCAAACTCGAATTGAAAAAATGTCGCTCCAAAAAGGGTCAAATGGTTAATAATTTTCATATCCGTCTAATTTGGTTACTTTAAGATATAAAAATAACATACCTAGTTCCCCGAAAAAAATTGCCCATTCCCCGATTGCCACTTAAACCGAGATTCCCTGGAAAGCGGGGAATTTCCCGCGAGTTGACAAGTTGAAGGATGCAGCTGTGCTAATCACTTCGTACATGTCTTGGAAACCACAGTTTGTGTGTATTTTAGAGTTTTTTTCAGTCACATGCCGAAATTGCAACATTTTTTCCCTTTTTAATTGCAGGTATGTACACAGCATTTAACTATGCTACATGGGTTTATCACCCGCACTTAACGTACCTGGTATTTACCTATAGTTGTACATAAATATGCATGTATGAATGCATTTAGTTCAGCCAATGTGCCGTTACTGCATATACATATGTATAAATTGCCACTGAGCAAAACTACTTGAGAAAACAGCATTAATTTAATGGCACGAGTGCAACACCGTGCACGTGATAGAAGCAAAACTTCTTTAAAAAAAGTACATGTGTGCGCCCCACACTCGGTAGAAATCTTAACAAAAATAAACTACGAGACTATCAGACGAATACAGTTGTTTATTGTATCCAAAGTTGATAAGTTTTTATCATATCTATTTTTTTTTTATTTATTTTTTTTTTCGAATACAAAGGATGTGATCATTCTTTTCGCTTTATTCCGTATTTGAAAAATTATATGTTTCAATGGACACATCGATTTGAGTACATATTTAGATAATATTTTTAGCAATTTATTTAAGAAAAATAAAACATTTAAGGCCTTATTCATAAAAAATAAAGTAGGTTTACAGAGCTTTACAAATTGACGTTTTCATACATTTTTCAATTTATAAACCTTTTATAAAGCTACTTTATTTTTTATGAACAAGGCCATTTGATTATTGTTTGTATTTTCGTCGATTTTAAATTTGCTACCCCAAAATAATTGATATCAAATAAAATACCTCTTTGAGGTAAAATTTTCGAGTGACGAAGGCTGAACTATAAACACAAAGTTTATGATATCAATTTCGTTACGAAAATTATATGCATTTTTTAACTGCCTTTGAAACGTACGGAAAATCTTTTTTTACTTATTCGGAACGTTGCGAAATTCTGTCTACTACTAGAAGTACAAAATAAAAAACAGAACTTTTGCAACGATTCGTATGAATAAAAAAGATTTTTCCTACGTTTCAAAGGCAGTTAAAAAATGCGTATAATTTTCGTCACGAAATTGATATCATAAATTTTGTGTTTCTAGTTCAGCCCTCGTCACTCGAAAATTTTACCTCAAAGAGGTGTTTTATTTGTTGTTTATACCCGCATTTTGGCACATTGGCTTGTTGAATGTGCCATCTAATAAATAGTGTCGTTGTTGTTGTTGTTGTTGTTGTTGTTGTTGTTGTTGTAGCGGCACTACTAAGCCCCGCCTTTTTCGGGTCAACATTCAATCATTTTCATCAAGCTCAACTAACGGGAGGCCCAGGAAACGAGCTGTTTCAATGGGGTCGGACCAGAGGGAGAGGGGTGTTAGCTGAGTCGGATTGAGCTGGCATGTGAAGAGGTGGTTGGTGTCGTGAGGGGATTCTCCACATGCCGGGCACTCATTGGGGATATTGGGGTCGAGTCTGGACAGGTAGCTGTTGAGGCGGCTACAATATCCAGACTGTAATTCAGCCAGGGTAACGTGGGTCTCTCTTGGCAGTTGAAGCTCCGTCTCTTCTACAGGTGGTGATTGGGCTCCTATTACGGCATTCATAGGTCGAGACTCAAGGTAGGTGGTGACTGACTCTCTATGGATGTCGTTAATGGCTCGTCTGTATGTCGTCGGGTCCAGTGGTTGATCTACGTATTGCTGGACTGCGCCCTTGTATACGAATAGGTGCCCTCTGACGTGCTTGGGCGGAGGCTCCTCCTGAAGCAGAGGTCTGTTTGGGTGTTCGCTTCTGTGACACCCCACCAGAAATTGCTTACAAAGCATTTTGTTGTGTTCCCTTACGGGGAGCGCTGTGTAGGTGGTGCTCAGGCGTCATCAGAAGGCACCCACCAGTCGCTGTCCGGAGTGCGGCGACAAGTCTGTAGCTTCGTCCACTGCGTCCAACTAGACCCCGGCGTCCAAAGTGGCGCAGCATAGTTTCCCTGAAGGAAATGTCGATAGTAAAACTGTACTGATTTAGTATTGACTTTGTCACCAGTACTACTGACCAATTACACCCCAGGCAATGCTCTCTGCTGTAGACATTTAACATTTGCTAGTCATTGAGAATCCACCAGTGCCGTTAGAACTATTAATTAGGTGCTTCTTATGGAACCACATGGAGACATTGGAAGGGTAATTCACTACTACATTTTAATAATTGACTAACTTTTTATTAGATTTCCTACTACTGACTGTGTAGTTCTTATGGGATCATATGGAGGCATTGGAACCAGAGATTCAGTAGTACATTTTAATAACTGTAGTCAACATTTTTGGAACTTTTTCCTAGATTTCCAGAATACTAATATTGCGTCGGGTACAAAATGTATTTAACAAAGTGTGATCGAAATGTACTATAATATCAAGTTCTTTGAATCGTTTGTTTATTTTATACAAGGAGTCAATCACACCTTATTTAATACACCTTTTAAGGGTATAAGTCCAAACAGGCCCAGTTATTTTGTTAAAATTAGATGCTTTATTTCAGAAACAAACGTTAAATTATTTTCATTAAAGTCTTTAACACAAGACGGTGTTTTTGTGTTTTAAATTTAAAGCTTGTGTGTTACAAGTCTAGGTACAAGTTTCTTATTACCTAATCAACACACCTTAGTAACAACTTCAAAGATTTCATATATGTACATATGTTATACATATTTCTTGGTATCAATATGTTTTAGAATAAAAAAGCTAATTTTTTCCAGGCTGGCTAAACCTTTAAGCATTTTGAGTTGATAAAAAAATTATTGGTCTTTGTCAGAAGAGTCGCCTTCATATTCATGTTGTTCCTTGTCTCTGCCTTTGTTGCGACTTGTTTGTTTAAAAAATTTTTTTTTCTGTCGTTGAAAGACTGCTCTCAATGTTTTGTCAGAAGATTCGCTGAAAGTTGATATAGCATCTGGGTATTGAAAAAAAAAGTTAAAATATGAAAAAAATTTAAATCCTCGGTTAACAAGTTACCTATTATAGCCGTAAACACATTGCTGTAATCCTGCAAACGCTTTTTGCCGAAAGATCCGTCGACATAGAAATTCATAATTATACCGTGGCCAAATACCTGATGTAGATTGCGTTCAGCATTACCACCGAGAAGTAAATTGATTTGCCGTATCTATCATATATAAAGCCGAAAAGTAAAATTTTTTATTCACTTCGTGTCACGGTAAAATAAAATACTCACATATGGATCTGCTTGCGTAGCTAAAAGGGTGTCAAATTCTTTCAATTTTTCATCGGTATTAATTGGAAAAATGCCCATTATGTATGTGCAAACTGCATTTTGGGCAACTGTGCGATCCAATAAAACTTTGTGTTCCGCCAAAATATCAAGTAAAGTATTATATTGCTTTTGAGCAGCATCTGTAAAAATATACGTACATCAATAAGATACATGCATACAGTTTCTCACAAAATTCCATCAGGGGCTCAAACTAAAACCAACAGCCAAAGTTCTGAGGGAAAACCTTTTTCAAAGCTTCTAGCTCTTAATGCTGAAATTTTCAAAAAGCCTGATTCGAAAACATCTGCGAAAAGCATGAAGAACTATGGACTCGCCACTTTCACATGGTTTTTTATCTTCAATTATTTCAATTTTTTTGATAATTCTTCACAGCTGTGACATTTTTGATTAACTTGAAAAATAAGAAAATAATTATGTTATCAGTATAGTATACAATGCTTAACTATAAAAATTACCTGGTTGGGGGAAATACTTCAGTGTTCCTTTGGAAAGATGGGTATTATGGCTCGACATTTTTCTGAAGGCAGCTGTGTAGAATTGGAATTATTACAAAATTACTATCATAAGGTAAGCATAGAAATTTCTACTGAACATCTTTCATTAAAAATCTTTCTTTTTCACCTAAACGTAGATTTGTTTTGAAAATGCCTAATTCACAAGAATTTAGGGGTTCTTGGAAAAAATTCTCTAAATCAAACAAACGCCGTCCTTCAACGTAGATATCATCTTTTACTATTGCTTCAATTTTTACAGGAATATCTGCTTTAACAGAAAAAACATTATTAGGTTCTTTGCAAGAAATTAAGTAATCATTGACAAAAGCTTCTACAATCTGCACAATTTGTTGAAGAATCGCCGATGGTTTTCGAACATGCCTTTTTAAAATTTGAAGTCTATTTTCAAAATCATATGCCGAAAAAGACGTGAGAGGTCCATACATTTCTGTGCTAGCTGCTATGTGTAATAGATTGTGTACATTAAAAGAGACACTGTCTGGACCGAATACAACAGGGAAATTTTCAACAAATAATTAAAGTATTTCATTAGCTATATTTACATTATTGTAAATATGTCGGGAATTACTCAGTAGTCTATAAGCGCAATGTAACAGCAAAAATTCATAGAAAAGTTCTTTGTGCACGTTATTGTGAAGTACAACAACTCCTGTATAGGCGAGGAACTGACGAAATTCAGTGGCCTTCCAATTATGTATTTCATCTAATGATCTAGGTTTCCGTGGAAACTCCTTGGGAAAAAATTTTCTTAATTTCACGAGTTCAGAAGATATTTTGGATATATTTGCTTTTGGAGTCGTCTCTTCTGTTCTATTCTTAATGATTCGAATAAGCATTTTTCTTGTAACTCCAAGATCGATAAGGTGCATGCTTAAAGGAGTTTGCGTTACCATATTAAATCCTATTTCTTCAAGGGGAGTTTTTTATCTTTGAATTTGTGGCTGTGGTGATTTGGATATTTTCTAAAAGAAAAGTCTACGTCGGAAATTAAAGTGCCACTAAGAGTACTGTATGTTAGCACATGGCCAATTTTCTTCGATACTTGTGTGCACTTAGTGCAACCATGCGATGCAGTATGTCCTGGGACAGCACAAACGAAAGCTTTAGCCGGCGAGTCGCATGATAAACAGCGGAACAAAATATTAATTTTCTTATCACTCAAAATAAATCCATCTTTTAGCGCAAGAACTTCCTCAATAAAATCTTTTAAGAAGTCTTTAACACAACACGGTTTAGTATCGCCTACATATATTCCTACAGGAAAAGGTTTCACTTTCTCTTTCTCGTAAATTTACATGTTTCTATATTTTGAGAAGTTATTTTTTTTTAATAATGAAAATCAAACATTTTACTGGCACATGTATAACATATGTTTTACTCGATTTTTATAGACATATGACAAAATAATAATTTGATCGTTACAAGAGTTACCACCTCGAAACTTTATAATTGTTACACCGTAGGTAAATTTTTAAGTTTGAAATATAACTTTAAACTTTATTTTGG